TTAAGAAACAAGGACATCGAATTTGATACAGAGATACTTTTATTTTAGATGGAGTTTGTATTTGTGTCACAATTACGGGAGACGTAATAGAGAAAAAATTCGTAAATCAAGGAACGAGAAGAGTGGTGGAAAAATTTAGAAAGAAAATCTCTGTGATCATAAATTAAAGAATCAATTACAAGAAACTTTTAAAAAGAAAAGAAGATAGAAGCAATTGAGTAGAATGAGAGAAGAATGATTTATTGATGTATTTGTGTCACAATTACGGGAGACGTAGAGAATAAAAAAATTCGTAAATCAAGGAACAAGAAGAGTAGTGGAAAAATTTAGAAAGAAAATCTCTGCAATTGTGATTATAAATTAAAGAATCAATTACAAGAAACTTTTAAAAAGAAAAGAAGATAGAAAAATTAGATAGAACAAGAGGAGAATTTGATTTATTGATATATTTGTGTCACAATTACGGGAGACATAGAGAATAAAAAAATTCGTAAATCAAGGAACGAAAAAAATGGTGGAAAAATTTAGAAAGAAAATCTCTGTGATCATAAATTAAAGAATCAATCATTCAAGAAACTTTTAAAAAGAAAAGAAGATAGAAGAAATTGGATAGAATGAAGAATTTGATTTATTGATATTTGTGTCACAATTACGGGAGATGTAGAGAATAAAAAATAAAAAAATTCATAAATCAAGGAACGAGAAGAGTGATGGAAAAATTTAGAAAGAAAATCTCTGCAATTGTGATCATAAATTAAAGAATCAATTACAAGAAACAATTTTAAAAAGAAAAGAAGATAGAAGAAGTGGGTAGAACGAGAGGAGAATTTGATTTATTTGATATAGGAAGATCTGGGAGAAAATTTCTGTAACTGTCGAATGATGATATAAGTTGAGGAAGAAGAGAATTCGATTTCACTTATATTAGAATATGATTTGTATCGAATCATAGGAAAATTTAGCGTAGGAAAAGGTAGCAAAGCAATATACATTAAAGAAAGAGGAGGTCGAGCGTTTTCTCCGTCCCTGGCCTTAAGTCCGACACACTTGACTAGCAATGTCTGTTACGTAACTTGTGGCATGAGATTGGTTTATAAGTATCGATTGAAGAAACACAGTCGGAATATAGTCGGCACGTTTTACAAAATGTGACTATATATTTAAAGCGTTATGAAACTGGTATATATTGACGGGGATGATCGTCGTCCAATCTTATTAAAACAATGTAAAAGCTGTTCAAAATAAAAATGGCGAAAGGAAAAAATTTATAGTCTAGAATTGGAATGATTTAACGACGAACGTCAAATGTGTCGCGAAAGAAAGAAAAAATGAAGAAAGACGAGGATGAGTCTTTTTTTTACTAATTTGAATTTAATATTTATTTATGAATTCACAAAGTCGAATCATTATTAACAACGTTCCAATAATGAACTGAACACATGATTTCCAGCAATTCTATTGAATTCCGCTCGCGATTATCATCCTTCTCGGAATTTTCCGCTGCACGCGTTTAAAGATATTTATAAATTGTTTCACGCGGATCCGCGCGTGTCTTCTCGGTACAAAACGTGCAAGATAAAGCACAATGTGAATACGAGGAATACGTATTATACAAGACACATAAATTATCGAAATATGAATTATTTATAGATTTAAGAATGAAACAACAGATTTATTTGATACTTATCTTGATTAAGTTTTTCTTTTTTAATTTAATAATTATTAATAATTGCAGTTAATCTCGATACACGATTATACGTATGATAAAAAATATGATTATAATTATATCTTATTTTTTTATAATTGTAGCTTGATAGTTTCTTTTTATCTATACAACAAATACGTATAATTCTTTAAATATATTAAAAAGTTTCAAAATTTGTAATATGTACGATACAAGAATCGCAAAAAGTCTTCGTATATCTTATGAAAAATTTGATTTTAATGAAAACTTATGTATATAAAAGAATCTAATGGGTTATGTTTCTTATTATAGAACAAATCACTAAAGTGAATATTTTACAATTTAAAATTTTACTCTATCCATATAACAAAATAACAAATTACAAAGTTATATCTTTAAAAAAATGATAATAATAACGAAACTTTAATTTCTTTGAACTGATATTCCACAAAAAAAAAAAAAAATAACAATTAATTTCGATAATTACCTAAAATATAA